CACGCACGCCCCAGAAGGGATAATTACGATTTATGTTTTATCATCACTCGGTACGGAGAGAGAAGGGAATAAAATCTACGAGAGAATGATGAAGAACATAACAGGTGATATTGATAAGTTAGGAATAAACATGCATGTCTGGGGGAGGCTCTATGGCTATAATTAGCTGGGCAACAATGAGATGGGGAATCAGATATTATTCCGTCACCATCAGCTGGACGGTTGGGTAATTTGTTTGCTGCTTTGTCTTTGGCTTGGCCGGCTCTGCACGACTAGGGTTAGGGTTTTGTCGATGGATGTTTTGTGTTATTAACATAAAAAGGGAATGACAGCTAGCTAGCTGAGGGTATCTGTTCACTGTCCTTATCACAAAACTAAACCTTTCCGCCACTAACATATTCCCCCAAAGACATATATGATTCCATTCCAACCCACCAAGAAGGCGACACCTGTTGTGCTTACCCGTCAGGCCACGGCGTTTCTGTTTAAGCTGTTCATCTATCTCTCAAATTTCATTGGTTGGGTGTATGATATGGCAAGTTTAGTGACGTGGCGGGTCGGGTTTGATCATTTCCGGTCGAAAATGACGTCGATTAGGCGCTCTCGTTAGCCACGTCAGCACATAACGGACTTCATTAACGGAGTTGAACGGAGACTAACGAAGAGTGACTAAATATGACATGTTTTAATAATTTGAGTGACCAAATTCGATATTAATTTTTTATGGTGACGAAACATGACACAATTTAGTAATCCCAGTGACAAAATGTGGCATTTACAATTTAGAAGATAAATTATGTATAATAGATTGGTTATATAATAATAATTATTAAATGAACTACTTAAAATTTATGAACTAAATAATATCATAGCAACAAAGTATATATAGAGCGATCAATTAATGAACGAATTATGTCTGAGGCTATTCTCCACCAATGATAAAGTCTATTAAGCGCTGATTTGGGCGGATTTTTTCTGATTGCGTTATCCTAATTTTTTGGGTAATGTTTTTGAAATATCCTTTTCCTTGGATTTGAAGGCTACGGATTGCAAATTCAACATGACATGAAGCTATACTTCGTCAATGATGGATTCTATTAAGCACCAATTTGGGCAGTTTTTTTTTTTTGAGACCATATTTGGCATATTCAAAAGGGGTATCATTACAGATTTCATACGATTTTTAGAAATGTTGTTTTTCCTTTGATTTTTAAGGCTACAAATCATGAATTCGGCACGAGGCTATTCTCTGCCAATTAAAAGGTATAGGGTCACAGATTCGTCCTGAGACTATATATTCTTCTCCAATCATGAAGTGAATTTTGTCCGGGTCCATTTTTGACATACTCCAAAGGTATCATTACAAATTTTGGGTGATATTTTCGTAAGACCATTTTTCTTGGATTTTGAAGCCTACATATGATGGATTTAGCATGAGGGTGTTCTCCACCAATGATGAAGTCTATTAATCGCCGATTTGGAAATATTTTTTTCGGGGCCATTTTTGGCAGATTCCAAAGGGGTACCATCACATATTTCGAGCGATTTTTCCAAAATAAAATTTTTCTTGAATTTTGAAGTCTACTAATCACAGATTCGGTTTTAGGTTATTCTCCACCAATAGAGAAGTCAATTAATGGCTGATTTGGGCGATTTTTTTTCTGAGGGCATTTTTGTACTTTTTTGGGCATTTTTTTTGTAAAGGCTACGGATAAGGGATTTAGCCTGAGACTATTCTTCAATGTTGATTAAGTCTATTTAGCAACGGTTTGTTCAGATTTTTTTCAGGTCCATTTTTTCAGATTCCAAAGGCTATCATGACAATTTTCGGACAATTTTTTTGAAATGCCATTTTCCTTGGATTTTGAAGTCTACATATCACGGATTTTGCGTTGGATCGTTTTCCACCAATGATAAATTCTATTAATCACATATTTAGGCGGATTTTTTCTGAGGGTATTTTCGTAATTTATGGACAATTTTTTGAAAGATCATTTTCTTTGGATTTTGAAGGCTGCAGATCGCAAATTCTGCCTGAGACGTTTCTTTATCAATGATGCAGTCTAATAAGCACCTATTGTGGCGGATTTTTGATCACTTCAATCCATGCAAGTTTTTGTCAGAGGTTTGCACGTATCTACAACTACCCCATCATAGGCCAAGTTTAACCTAGAACGGCGTTGCCGTATACTGGTAATCAATGTCGTATTCTACCCGAGTCCCGGTACCATAGCCTACTTCCCACCTAGTTGCTAATTAGTTAATCGATTTTTGAGATTTTGAGTGGAGGATATGAGGAAACTCTGGTGTAAGGATTGATCAAAGGTAAGCAGGTACTTCGGGGACTAATCCTCCCCCAACTTTAGGATCACTATGCATATAAATATCGTTTTCCTTGGATTTTGAAGGTTGCAGATCGCAGATTCTGCTTGAGACTTTTCTTCATCGATGATTAAGTCTATTAAGCACCGATTGTGGCAGATTTTTTTCGGGTCTATTTTTGGCAGATTCTAAAAAGGTACTACCATCATAGATTTCAGGAGATTTTTTCGAAAGATAATTTATCTTGATTTTGAAAGCTACAGATAAATGAGTCGGTCTCGGGCTATTCTCCACCAATAGAGAAGTCAATTAATCGTTGATTTGGGTGGATCTTTTCCAGAGAGCATTTGTTAATTTTTGTGCGATTTTTTTTCAAAATGTCGTTTTCTTGGATTTCAAAGTCTACAGATCACATATTCGGCCTGAGACTATTCTTCACCAATGATTAATTTTATTAAGCACCGATTTGGGCGGATTTTTTAAGTTCATTTTTGGCATATTCCAAAAGAGTACCATCACAGATCTCTCGCAATTTTTTGAAATGTCATTTTCTTTGGATTTTGAAAGCTACAAATTACGAATTCGATCTGAGGCTATTCTCCATCAATGATGAAGACTATTAATAGTCAATTTGAGAGGATTTTTTTCGGTGGGCATTTTCATAATTTTTGGGCGATTTATTCGAAATGTCATTTTTCTTAACTATTCTCCACCGATAGAGAAGTCAATTAATCCCCGATTTGGTCAATTTTTTCCGAATGTCATTTTGGTAAATTTTTGGCCGATTTATTCAAAAGGTCATTTTTTTAGATTTTGAAGGCTACGGATCACGAATTCGGTCTAAAACTATTCTTCACTAATGATGAATTTTATCAAACACCAATTTGGACGAATTTTTTCCATGTCCATTTTTTTGTTGATTTATACCTATTTTAGAATTTAGTTTAGGGCTATGTCTATTTAGAATGATAAATTAGGTGAGCTTGATAAGTTGAGCTCGAGTATAGTTGATGAGCTCATTAATTAGTCGAATTTGAGTTTGAGCTTTGACTCAAACACGAGTCGAGATTTCAGTGAATAAGTCGAACTAGAGCACACTAGAGCACAGATAGTTTATTAAGGACTTGTTATAATTAAACAAGGAAGATGTGACATCATATATGTTATAATTCTGATGTGCACAATTCCCTAAAAAGTTATTTTGATGTGCATAAAATATAGACCCTAAAATATGGTATTAAAATTTCTATGACCTCATACATAAGCATAATTAATCGCAGACCAAAACTGATTTAATGGCAATATATATAGGACTGTATGATGTTTTATTTACGGGAAAGGTCTTATGAATCGCTAAGCATTTTGACTATTGCGCCATACAGATATAGATTAATCAAAACTATAAACCTCCATTTCTTATTCTATTATGCCTTTCCCCTCTCTTTCATTATCATATAATTTCTTAGCTACTAATTAATTAATATTTGGATTAGATATTGAAATTCCTAATTGTTTAGTATTTTACTTTCAGTTGCCGAGCTGTACAATCGAGTCAATGGTTATGTTAATACAATCTCCGATGGGCAAATGTCAAACTTAAACATCTTTTCTCTAACCCTTAAGTATCTTCCTCATTAATGCTTTGTATTGTTTATTAGTAAGCAGTTGACTTATTTTATAACATTTTCCCAGATATCACAATTCCATAGGTCAAGCGACTTATTTTGGGTTGCACAAGATTTACCAATCTATATTTTAGAGAGATTAATTGATCTTGGGTTATAATGACACGACATTAGCTATCTTATCATCCAAGTAATGTATAATTTTGCCTGGAGAAGAAAATTCTTTTTGCTCCGTTTTTCTCGGGAATCCTCCTTCGCGCGAGTGTTAGGGTTTTGAAACCTAGTTGGGATGGCTGCTACCGGCGGCTCGCCGGAGCCAACGGGGGACCCAGACCCCCCCATCACGGACGTAAGGGAACAATCCTCCCCCATCCAACCTTTGAAACGTGCCAAACCTACCTCGGAGGGGGAGTTTATGGGCAGTGCGGCGATGCAGCTTGACAGCGTCGCGAACGGGGCTGAGACGCAACCTTCTCAGACGTGGGTGTCGACGGCGGGGATGAGCTCAGCGACTCAGGAACTGGCCACAGGGGCGCCGCCCAGGTCATACAAAGACCTCGTCATTGGAGGAGACAAGGGGCAGAAAACCCTAGATGAGGAGCCTGAGGAAGAGATGGAGAGCGACGGAGAGGGCGACCCGGAGTGCCCGACTATCCGAATCGATCGGAGTACCAAGCAACGACTGGGGAAAGCTTGGAGTAGGGCGATTATTGTCAAAATCCTAGGTCGATCCTTTCCGTTCCTTTTCCTCCAACGCCGACTCCAATACCTCTGGGCGAAAACGGGGACTATAACAGTTGCGAGCATGGGCCAAGGCTTCTACTCCGTGAGGTTTACAACGGAAAGAGACTACGACCGGGCCCTATATGAGGGTCCTTGGATGATCGAGGATCATTATGTTCTTACCCGCCGCTGGAAGAGGGGTTTCGACCCCGACGAGGGTGACGATGTCCTAACCAACCTGTTGGTTTGGGTTCGCCTGCCAAAACTCCCCATGGATTATTACGACTCTGTTTTTTTTGGTGAAAATCGGGTGCTTATCACCCTGAACTCTTATTCAAAAACCGATCGAATGGTGAAACCACCAACAATGTCAAAACGAGTCCACCGACAAACATCCGGGTCCGAAATATCAATCATGTGGGTACCCGGTGAGACCGAGTGACCCTTATGGGCTAGACAATCAGCCAAAAAATTGGCCTCTCTATAAACATGAATAACTCGAACTTCCCAGTCACGACGAAGCAGCTCCTGGAAGCGGATGGTGAGATTCGCGTGCTGGTGGCAGTGCTGGCCAGTGTCGAGTAGCATGGCTACTGCTGTCTTGGAGTCAAGCTGCAGCTCCACCTGGCGATGCCCCGCCTCCCAAGCTAGCTCCAGTCCCTTCAGTGCTCCCCAAATTTCGGCTCTGGTAATGGAACATCTCCCCAGGTTCATTGTATAGGCCCCCAACAAGCGACCCTGCCAGTCTCTAAGCGCTCCTCCTGCCGCGGTAGACTCGGACGGTCGCAGGAGCGAGCCATCCGAGTTCACTGTGATCCACCCTGTCGGGGCCGGTCTCCACCCTACAGCCATGTCTCGACGCGACCCCGACCTCCCCAGTGAAAGAATGTGTTCCGCGGTATTACTCTGCTGAGCGGCGACCTCCCAGGCAAGGGTCTTTTGCGCTAACTTGTCGGGAGCTTCTACAATGTCTGCAAAGATGAAACCATTCCGAGCACGCCATAAGAACCAACAAGTAAGGCCAAATCGAACCTGGTTTTGAGGGCACTTGACTGTCTCGGTGAACCAATCATGGAAACTCCTGTTGTCATTCGCTATGTTCAAGGACGGCAAGGTCCTCGTCCAAACCTCTTGCGCAAAACTGCAGCGGCGTAGAACGTGGTCGAGGGTCTCCTCCCCCGCGCGGCACCGAGGGCAATCAGCTCGGTCGGTGATGTGACGGCGCGCCCGCTCCGCGTTGGTCAACAGTCGGCCATGAGCTACGAGCCAGAGAAAGTGACGTACGCGATTAGGCCCTGGCCATTTCCACATCGTGCTCGCCTCGCTGCCATCAATCTCCGCCACCAACCTGTACGCCGATTTGAGGGAGAAGTGGCCCCTTTGCTCGAGACCCCACACCAGCTCGTCATTACCCAGCTCCTCCCTCGGCACGGGCATGCCCACAACCTGCAAAACCACTTCAGGAGGTAAATATTTTTCAAAAGAATCCAAGTTCCACTCACCTTCGCTAGACACCATATCGGCCACGCAGGCATCAGCTTGGAACTGGTCGTCAACGTTGGTGGTGTGGTCCGCCAGGACCGTCCCACTGTCCAGCCAGGCCGCCTCCCAAAACTGGGTATCCTTTCCATTTCGAACACTCCAGCGAGCACCCCCGTCCATTAGCCTCCACACGCGGCGAATCCCCCTCCACAGAACCGAATGCCCCGTCTTCCTGCGAGCACTAATAACGCCGTTAGGGCCCACCTTCAGGTACTTCTCCGTCATGATCCGTACCCAGAGCTCATTGGGGCTCTTGAGGATGTGCCAAGCGAGCTTAACTAGGTAAGCATTGTTTAAATCTCGGGCACTGCGCAGGCCGAGTCCGCCCTGGTCCTTGGGGCGGCAGATCGTATCCCAGTCGATCAGATGAATCCGGCGGCGCCCCTGTTGCGAGCCCCATATGAACCCACGAATACGCTTGTCGATGTAGTCGCATATATAGGCTGGTAGCACCGACGTTTGCATCACATAAGACGGGATAGCATTAAGCACAGCCAGCGCGAGAGTCACGCGGCCAGCAAGCGAGAGATTGTTCGCTTTCCACCCCGCGAGTCTTTGGTCCACCCGGTCTATGAGATACTGGTAGGTTTGCCTCGTCACCCTGCCATGTAACACCGGGACGCCCAAATATCTTCCCAAGTCTTGTGTCATCGGAATACCGAGCCCATTGCTAAGTTGCCGACTCTGGTCTCTCCTGACATTCCTGGAGAAATATACTCGGGACTTCTCCTTGCTCACTAGTTCCCCAGATGTTGCACAGAAGCGGTCAAGGCATTGAAGAATAACGTTAACCTGCTCCTGCGAGGCTTCTGCAAAAAGAACAAGATCGTCAGCAAAAAAACTATGCGAAATTTTTGTACCTCCGCGGACGAGCTGTATCGGTTTCCATCTCCCTTCACCAACCGCCTCCTCGATGAGATGGCTGAGGCGCTCAATGCATAGGGTGAATAAGTACGGAGACAAGGGGCATCCCTGGCGGATCCCTCTTGTCGGTACAAACCTCTCCGTCGCCGAGCCCTCCCACAGGACCTCCATAGACGTGCTAGTAATGCATCCCATCACAGCTCTAACAAAGACTGGCGGCAAACCTGCGCAGTTCATAGTATCCTCAACAAAGCTCCATCGTAACCGGTCGTAGGCTTTAGCAAGGTCTATCTTGAGCACCATTTGTCCCTTGCCACTTCTCCTCGTGTGCATCGAGTGAACAACCTCTTGCAGGATGATAATGTTGTCCTGTATATGTCTCCCCGGAACAAAACTCGTCTGATTGGGGCCCACAAGCTGCGTCATCAGAGGTTTCAGCCGGTTAGCCAAGCATTTAGCAAAGGTCTTGTAGGCGACGTTACACAAGCTAATAGGTCTGAAATCAGAGACTCTCTCGGGCTGGGAAATTTTAGGAATGAGCACCAATAGAGTCTCATTGACCATCGCCACAAGCTCCGGCTCCCTGAAGCAATCCGTCAAGAAGCGAACGAGCTTTTGCCCCACCGTCGTCCAACACTTTTGGAAAAAGAGTGGTTGATATCCGTCCTTCCCTGGCGCCTTCATGGATCCCATTGACTTGAGTGCATCGAGAATTTCCTCCATTCAAAGGTCGCTCTCGACCAAGCTGAGGGACCCTTCCAACAACGGGAACGAGTCCTGGAGACTAGGTACCTCCCCTGCCAACTCCAGGTACAAGTCCATATAGAACTCACGAACCATCCCCTGAAGCTGGCTAGGATCGTCGACCCACTCATTCTCTGCTGACTTGAGTCTCCGGATACGATTCCTGCAGCGACGTTTCAGGGTGGCCAAGTGGAAGAACCTAGTGTTACTGTCCCCGTAGACAAACCACTGCGCCCTGGACTTCTGGTACCACAGAATATGCTCGTGCTGAAGCACCTCCATAAGCTCAGCTCGGGTGTTCTCCTCCGATTGCAAACTAGCCGGGGAAGGTGACTGCTCGTTCCGCTCTTCTAGCCTCTGCAGTCTGTTCGCCAGTTTTCTCTTCTTAGCAAGAATGTTACCATATACCTCCCGGTTCCATTGGCTCAACACTGAAGTAAGGCCCGCCACTGCCTCCCTGTACTCCGAGCCTGCCGACCACCCTTCATGCAAGACGCGAGGGAAGTCCTCGTGGAGGAGCCAAGGTGCTAAGAAGCGAAATGGCTTGCGAGAGCGGTCCTGGCCTCGAGCCTGGTCACAGCAGGTAAGGATCGGCCGATGGTCCGACTTGATCCTCGGTAGATGAAGCGTGTTCGTCTCGGGAAAGTTCTGCAGCCAAGCCGAGTTGCATAGAGCTCGATCCAGGCGTTGACGCAGATGTCCCCGCTGCCAGGTGAATCTCGGACCACTAACTTCCACATCCATTAGACCACAGTCATCTACGCAGGCCTTGAACTCCCTGCTCGGCGCCAGGTTGAACTGCGCCCCTCCCTGCTTTTCCTGGGGTCCTAGAAGCGCGTTAAAGTCTCCACACAGCAACCATGGCCCATCAACCTCTTCCGCCAGTCCCCTTAAACTCTCCCAAAGGTTCCGGCGGGAGCTTTGGACAGGGCTCCCATACACCGCAGTCAGGTATCCAGTCTGCCCATCATTGAGGCGAACCCGTAAATGAAGGTGCTGGACCGATCGACCTCTTTCCTCCATCGAGACCTCGCCCTCATTCCACAAGACCCAGATCCCTCCCGAAAACCCATTAGCCTCCACACAGGCTTGCATGTCAAACCCCATCTTGCGCCGGACCTCTTCCGCCGAGGACCCACTGATCTTCGGCTCCGTAATAACAACGATGTTCGGTCGGTGACACCTGCAAAACTCTTTAAAAGCGGTGAGAAACTCGGGGTCGGCAGCACCCCGGCAATTCCAAGCAAATATTTTAAACATGACAAAGAGAAGAAAGCAACAACACACAGCAGAAACTAAAGCGGACACAGAGACAAAAACGAAAGAGAACCCTCCCCGGGGGAGTCCGATCAAACGTTGCATGCATGCACGTCCAAAAGGGACGTGGCCTGCCTCTCTTCAGCAACACCTCGACCTCTCTCGGTCTCTGAAGTCCGCCGCATCTCATGCCCTGCTAAATGCTTTCCCGAGGCTGGGGAGGGGAGAACACCCGTTATCGCTGGCCCTGGGGTTGCATTGAGGTTCAGGCTCCTCGCCACCCCTTTGGACCCATCGCTAGCTGCCTTAGCACGATTTGATTGGGGTGGTGTGGATGGTAACGGATGTCGAGGCCCTTTCTCTCTCTGCTGGGATTTCTCCTGCTTTTTGGCCTCCTTCTGCTCTGGGCCCTTAGCCTTACTGCTCCCTTGCTTCTTGGTCGTGTCCACATGCTTCTGCCCGGCCCCCGTACCTACTTGTTTCTTCCCCATGGGTTCCTTTCCCGCTCCAGCTTGCGTGCCCCGATCAGCCCTATCAGCTACCACTTCCTCATTTCCCATCCCCTCGCTCGTTAGAGTAGCACGGTTCTCTATCTCGTCAGTCGCTTTGGTCATGTCGGTATCTCCCTCTTCGTCGAGGCCCTCCTTCTCAACTATCACTTGTGCGGTTGTGTGCTCAGTGAACTCATCATTCAGGTCTTCCAAGAGTGTGAAACGAGAGCCCGAGCTCGTTGGTTGGGCTTTCCCCGGTGTATCCCCCCGATGTGGTTCCCTCGGGCCAGTCTGATTTTTTGTGCCAGTACGTCTCCGGTTTCTAGAGGCCAACATCCATGGACCAAAGTCCTCGAAGATCTCAGGGCGCTCCTCCTCAATTCGCTTCGGCACCCCGACTTGTTGTGCCCGTCGGAAGTCGTCGTCAGTGGGTTCAGATTTTTCCTTCTTTGGGCATGCATCCTCGTTGTGACCAAACCGCCCACAGCCGAAGCACACGTTGTGTAACCCCTCGTACTCCAGTCTTCGGACACGCCTCTCCAGCCTATATTTGACAATCAACGGCTTTGTCAAGTCGACCTCAACGCAAATCCGGGCAAAGTGACCCCTCGTCGCCGCACGGGTGGTCTCATCCATCTTGACGTATTTGCCTATAGAGTTGCCAACATCCCGCAAGATTACCGAGTCATAATAGTCCATTGGAAGCTTTGGCAGACGAACCCAAACCAGAAGGTTGGTTAGGACATCATCCCCCTCTCCGGGATCAAAACCCCGCTTCCACCGACGAGTGAGAATATAGTGGTCCTCGATCATCCAAGGGCCCTCGTACAGCGCCCTATCGTAATCCCTTTCCGTTGTAAACCGAACTGAATAGAATCCTTGTCCCATACTAGCGACCGTTATAGTCCCCGTTTTCGCCCAAAGATGGAGTTGGCAACTCTATAGGCAGGTACGTTAAGATGGATGAGACCACTCGTGAGGCGGCCAGAGGGCATTTCGCCAGGATCTGCGTTGAGGTCGACTTGACCAGACCGCTGATCGTCAAATATAGACTGGAGAGGCGGGTTCGACGTCTGGAATACGAGGGTCTACATAACGTATGCTTTGGATGTGGAAGGTTTGGCCACAATGAAGCAGCATGTCCTAAAAAGAGTAGCACTGAACCAAATGAGGAAGACTTCCGTCGGGCGCAACAAACAGGGAATCAGAAGCGAATCGAGGAGGAACGTCCGGAGATATTTGAGGAGTTTGGTCCTTGGATGCTGGCTACTAGGAACCGAAGACGCAGTGGAACAAAGCAGCAATCGTCTCCAAGGGAACCACGCCAGGGTGAAACCCCGGTAAAAGCCCACCCAGTGAGCTCAGGTTCTAGGTTTACCCTCCTCGATGATTTGAATGATGAGCTCACTGAGCACACGACGGCCTTAGTGGGAGCAACAAAGGAGGGACTAGACGAAGAGGGAGACACTGACATGGCGAGAGCTATCACTGAATTGGAGACCCCAGCGACCGCAACTGAGGATGGGAACAAAAACGTGGAGGCGGCAGCTAGCATTGGGGATCGAGGCAAAAAGGCAGGGGTGGGTAATGAGGAAATGAGAAAGATACAATCAACTGCGGTGACCGGGGACAAGCAAGCGGGAACGGGGAAGAAGTAGATTTCTAACAAACCAAAGGGCACGGATAAGAAGGAGGCTAGAAAGCAGGATAAGGCCCAACAGAGGGAACGAGGGCCTCGGCATCCCTTGCCGTCCACAACGCCCCTGTCCAATCGAGCCAAAGCAGGTAACGATGGGACTAAAGGGGTGGCGAGAAGTCTGAACCTCAATGATACCCCGGGTGCAGCGGGACCAGGAGTCCTTGCCTCCACAACGCTGGGCATGCCGAGGGAAGGGCAGGAGATGAGGCAGATAGCGGAGACCTTGAAGGGTCGAGGTGCAACAGATGAGAGGCAGGCCACGTCCCACGTGGACGTGCATGCATGCAGTGCCTGAGCGGGTCGTCCCGAGGGGAGTTTATGCCTTTGGCCTTTAGTCTTCTTTGTGTTCCCGCTTTGTGTTGTTTTCCGTTTTTATTTGCCATGTTTAGTATTTTTTCTTGGAATTGCCGGGGTGCTGCTGACCCTGATTTTCTCATCTCTTTCAAAGAGTTTTGTAGGAGGCATCGACCGAACATCATCATCATTACCGAGCCGAAGATTAGTGGTGCTTCGGCGGATGAGGTCCGGCGCAAAATGGGTTTCGATAAGCAAGCCTGTGTTGAGGCTAATGGGTTCTCAGGAGGGATTTGGGTGCTGTGGAATGAGGGGGAGGTCTCGATGGAGGAGAGGAGCCGTTCTACCCAGCATTTGCATCTTCGTATCAAACTTCATGATGGGCAAATGGGGTACCTGACTGCGGTGTACGAGAGTCCTGTTCAAAGCTCCCGTCGTAACCTATGGGAAAGGTTGAGGGGTCTGGCGGCCGGGATCGATGGGCCATGGCTGCTGGGGGGGACTTCAACGCTCTCTTAGGACCCCACGAGAAGCAGGGAGGGGCGCAGTTCAACAGGGCGCCTAGTAGGGAATTTAAGGCCTGCGTGGATGACTGTGGCCTTCTTGATGTCGATTTCAGTGGACCGAGATTCACGTGGCAGCGGGGTTCTCTGCGCCAACGCCTCGATCGTGCTCTATGTAACTCTTTATTTCTACAGAGCTTCCCTGAGACAAACACGCTCCATCTCCCGAGGATCAAATCGGATCACAGGCCATTCTTATCTGTTGCGGTCAGACTCGGAACCAGGACCGATCTCGTAAGCCTTTCCGTTTCCTAGCGCCCTGGCTTCTCCACGACGACTTCCCCCGCGTACTGCAGGAAGGCTGATCGGCAGGTCCGGAATACAGGGAGGCAGTGGCAGGGCTTACTTCGGTGCTGACGCAATGGAACCGTGAAGTGTTTGGAAATATCATTGCGAAAAAGAGGAAGCTGACGAACAAGCTGCAGAGACTAGAGGAGAGAAACGAGCATTCGCCCTCCCAGACTGGTGTCCAGATGGAGGAAAGAACACGGGCGGAGCTGATGGATGTGCTTCACCATGAGCAGATTTTGTGGTACCAGAAGTCCAGGGCGCAGTGGTTCGTGCATGGGGATAGCAACACTAGGTTCTTTCACTTGGCTACCCTAAAACGCCGATGCAGGAACCGTATCAGACGCCTCAAGTCAGCGAACAATGAATGGGTAGAAGACATCACCCAGCTACAGGAGATGGTCCGAGAGTTCTATATGGACCTATATCTCGAGGTGGCAGGGGTGGCGCCCACCCTTCATGACTCGTTTCCCTTGCTGGAAGGGTCCTTCCCTTCAGCTGATAGGGAGCTCCGGGCGGAGGAAATTTTAGATGCACTCAAATCGATGGGTGCCCTCAAGGCTCCAGGGAAGGATGGATATCATCCACTGTTCTTCCAAAAGTGTTGGACGACGGTGGGCCAAAAGTTGGTCCGGTTCCTGACTGACTGCTTTAGAGATCCGGAGCTTGTGGCGACTGTGAATGAGACACTGCTTGTGCTTGTCCCTAAGAGCTCCCAGCCTGAGAGAGTCTCTGAGTTCAGACCCATAAGTCTATGTAACGTCACATACAAGACTTTTGCCAAGTGTCTGGCTAATCGGCTGAAACCTCTCATGTCACAGCTTGTGGGCCCTAACCAGACGAGCTTTGTTCCGGGGAGACATATACAGGATAACATAATTATTCTGCAAGAAGTCGTTCATTCGATGCACACGAGGAGAAGTGGCAAGGGACAAATGGTGCTCAAGATAGACCTTGCAAAAGCCTATGATCGCCTCCGGTGGAGTTTCATTGAGGATACTCTGCATTGTGCGGGGATGCCGCCAGCTTTTGTTCGAGCGGTGATGGGTTGCATTACCAGTACAACTATGGAGATTCTGTGGGAGGGATCGGCAACGGAGAGGTTCGCCCCGACAAGAGGAATTCGGCAGGGGTGCCCCCTATCGCCCTACCTTTTCACCCTCTGCATAGAAAGGCTCAGCCACCTCATTGAGGAGGCTGTTGGGAATGGGAGGTGGAAGCTGATACAACTTGTCCGAGGAGGTACCAAAATATCTCACAGTTTTTTTGCTGACGACCTTGTTCTTTTTGCAGAGGCCTCGCAAGAGCAGGTGAACGTAGTCCTCCACTGCCTCGACCGATTTTGTGATGCTTCTGGGGAGCTTGTCAGCAAAGAGAAGTCGCGCGTTTACTTCTCCAGGAATGTCAGGAGGGACCTGAGCCGCCAGCTGAGCACCAGCCTCGGAATCCCGATGACCCAAGACTTGGGTAGGTACCTGGGGGTCGCGGTGCTGCATGGCAGAGTGACAAGGCAAACTTACCAGTACCTAATCGATCGGGTGGACCAGAGACTTGCGGGGTGGAAAGCTGATAATCTCTCACTTGCAGGTCGCGTGACCCTTGCGTTGGCAGTGCTGAATGCCATCCCGTCGTATGCGATGCAAACGTCGGTCTTACCTGCAGCCATATGCGACTACATCGATAAGCGCATTCGTGGTTTCATTTGGGGCTCACAACAGGGGCGTCGCCGGGTCCATATGATTGACTGGGAAACGATTTGTCGACCCAAAGATCAGGGCGGACTAGGGCTGCAGAGTGCTCGAGATTTAAATAATGCTTATCTTGTCAAGCTTGCTTGGAATATTCTTAAATGCCCCGATGAGCTTTGGGTACGGATCCTAACGGAAAAGTACCTGAAGGAGGGCCCTAATGGTACTGTTAGTGCTCGCAGGAAGGCGGGGCACTCGGTTTTGTGGAGGGGAATTCGCAGGGTGTGGAGGCTAATGGATGGGGGAGCTCGTTGGAGTGTCCGCGATGGGAAGTCCACGCCTTTCTGGGAGGCGGCCTGGTTGGACAATGGGACGATCCTGGCGGACCACGTCACCAACGTAGATGATCAGTTTCCCGCAAATGCTTGCGTGGCTGACATGGTGACAAGCGAAGGTTAGTGGTGGCTGGCGGCTTTTGAACAATACTTACCCCCGGACTTGATTTTGCAGGTTGTGGGCATGCCCGTGCCGAGGGAGGAGCTCGGCAACGATGAGCTCGTGTGGGGGCTTGAGCAAAGGGGCCATTTCTCCCTCAAGTCGGCGTACAGGATGGTGGCGGAAATCGATGGCAGCGATGCCAGCTCAATGTGGAGGAAGCTGTGGAAGTGGCCAGGCCCCAACCGAGTCCGCCATTTCCTCTGGCTCGCAGCTCATGGCCGGCTGCTGACCAACGCGGAGCGCGCGCGCCGCCACATCGCAGACGGAGCAAACTGCCCACGGTGCCGAGCTGAAGACGAGACCCTTGATCACGTTCTCCGCCGCTGCAGCTTCGCTCAAGAAGTCTGGAATGCGACCTTGCCGTCCGTATGCATACAGAATGACACCCGGAATTTCCACGAGTGGTTCACTGAGTCAGTTAAGTGCCCCCAGAACCAGGTTCGTTTTAGCTTTACTTGCTGGTTCATTTGGCGTGCTCGGAATGGTTTCATCTTTTCAGACATTGTAGAATCCCCCAACAAGTTAGCGCAAAAGATCCTTGCCTGGGAGGTCGTCGCTCAGCAGAGTAGTACCGCGGAACACAATCTTACACTGGGGAGGTCGGGGTTGCGTCGAGACATGGCCGTGGGGTGGAGACCGGCCCCGACAGGGTGGATCACAGTGAACTCAGATGGCTCGCTTCTGCGACCGTCTGAGTCTACCGCGGCAGGAGGAGCGCTTAGAGACTGGAAGGGTCGCTTGTTGGGGGCCTATACGATGAACCTGGGAAGATGTTCCATAACCCGAGCCGAAATTTGGGGGGCACTGAAGGGCCTCGAGCTAGCTTGGGAGGCTGGGCATCGCCAGGTGGAGTTGCAG